TTTGCAGTGGAGGGGAAACTGAGTAGTCAGAGCTGTTCCCTTAAGATTTTAGATGGTGGGGACTGGAGAGATGACTCAGTAGTTAAGAGGCTGCTTTTGCAGAGGACCTGGGTTCGATTCCCATGATCCACATGGAGGCTAACGATTGCCCGTAACTCCAATTCCAGGGGATCCAATGCCCTCTTCTGAACTCTGCCGGCATTGTACGACACTGGTGCACTTACCTACATGCAGGCAATACATGCATACACATAGAATAAAAATAATAAATATAATTTTAAATATATATATATAAAGAATACCTATAACTGTGGTCTTTGAAATTTCTATTACCAGAGCAAAATGCAATAGAGTCAGACTTTAAGAAGAAACAGATGTCATATCCTTCAAAAGAATAAAACAAAGTAACTTTAGTCAGACTAAACTATGCTCTTTATGTTGTTACTTGCTTCACAGACATTCTGTTTCTCCATTCTTCTAGACATACGCTGAAACTGCACTGGTATTCTTGAAGTTGGCTATGTAACTTTGTCCAAGAAAATGGAAGGGGAAGTAATGTCTAGTCTGGCCCAGCAGAATCTTCAACAGGTAGAGACACGTTTCCCTGTCCCTACTGTGGTAATCATGGAAATTTGTGTTAGCATAAAATATCTGTCATTTTATGTTCCTAAATGACTACAATAAGCAGACTAGTATTGTGCAACTATTACTGCAAACCAAGTTTAGAAAGTTTATTACCCTATCCCCATTCCTTATGCCCATTGGACATCCGTCTTTCTTTCCATCCCCAATCTACTATCTGGAGATCTCATATAAATGGTCTCATATGTCCTTTCATGTCTGACTTCTTGCACTCAGTGTAATGTTTTTGAGGTTCATTAACATTGTACCAGTCAATATTCCTTTCCTTGTTATTGCTTATTAGAACTCTGTTGTATGAATGTACCACTTTTTGTCTACCCATCCATCCTTGAAGGACATGTAGGTCATTACCAATTGTTTGGCTATTGTGAATGAATCTTCTATGGACACTTCTGTAAAATTCTTTGTGTAGATATTTGTTTCTATTTTTCTTGAGTAGATTCTTAGAAGTCTAATTATTGAGTTTATGGTAAGTTTGTGTTTAACTTTTTAAGATACTGCCATCTGGACCTGGTGGAACAAGTCTATAATCCCAGTACTCAGGAGATAGAGGCAGGAGAATCAATAGTTCAATATTATCCTTGGCTACA